CCTGTGGGCCTTTGCGGCCCGCCCAGCGAGGAGCTAATTGAAATAAACTGCATTAATGACACGCTGCATGTCCTTACGAGCATCACTCTCTAATGCCCTCATGTTTATGATTATGGTGGGATATTGATTTCAACACTTGAAAAAAGATATGCGTTTTATCAAACCATCCAAACAGCTCCCGCTCTCTCCTGGTGCCTTGTTTACAGCCAAAACCGTCTCGATCGTAAACACCAAAAATTCCCACTGCAGTCTGAAAACGATCATCAACAAATAGTCCTTTTTGCTCCTCCTGCGCGCCCGCAGAGGGAGAAACTTTCCCCGAAACGTTGGGCTGCCGGCTGAAGTCTGGGCAGGTCCTGGACCGGTGTTCTTCATCAATATGACAGCGATCACAAAGAGGTTGGCCCGCCGAAGCCTCCAAAGCCAAACTTCACACAGAGAAGAGGAGCCAGCTCCACTTCAGTGGAGGACATGAAGAGGTGGAGGGCTTTTCTGGATTACTCTGATCCCTGCTTTGCCGGCACTCGAAAACGAGAGCGTCTGAGCAGAATCCAGTTCTAGCAGAGTTGACTCTTTTCATCTGCACTGCAAAAACACCAAAATCTTAACAAGTAGATTCAGTCTAGCTTCTAGCACAAATATCTTGAAGTAAGATAATAACTTACAAGTAACTTTTCAGTACACTGACCTTGTTTTAAGGGTGACTTTGAAAAGGTTAGGATATGTCTACATTCTATGAAAAATTCTTTGTTCATTACATTTTTTGCACAAAGTCCTTCTCAGATAATGAGACTTAACCTGCTCAGTTCTACCCATTTTGAGCTCCTTTCAGAATTAGCTGTTTTGGGTTTTGTCCCTTTTATGCAAATAAGCTGCTGCTGGCCACGCCCCCAACTCAACATTTATACTTGAAAATGGCTGCAAATAGATGCGTAAATGTTACCAACCAAACTCTTGTTTTTTCCAGCAGCTATTGTAGCGGACATACAGCGGTAAAACCAGCTAACCAAACATGTTCAATGTCTAATAATGAAGTAGGTTAGGTTGCTAGGTAACAGGCGGTGCCTGCTGATTGTGACATCATATTCAGGAGGTTTTTGAAATGGGTCGTTTTTCATACACCAAAAAACATTAAATTATTGCCATAAAACAACTGGATGTTTGTCTTAGTGCTTGGACTTTAGAATCAATAGAAACCGGAACAGAAGAAAAAAAATTTGCAAAAATGAATTTTACATAATAGGTCCCCTTTAAGTCAATAATTCGTTAATGTTGATGAAAAAGTTCTAGTTCCCCTGACAGATTATTTAACTTATAACAAGACATTTTCTCCATGTTGTAGGTGAAATAATCTGCAAGTTGAGTTAGAACTTTTCATCAATATTAAGGAATTATTGGCTTAAAACAAACTCCTATTTCTTGCTGAAATGGTACTTTTGAGTTAATTTTGTCTTATTTTAAGTGTACTACGATATTTGATATTTGTTTTTGCCGTGTGATTACAGATCTGATATGCTGACTGCATTTATGGCACCATGTAGAATAAATGTGTTCTGCGTCCTTAAATCACACCAGTCCGCTACGTCTCCCTGCTTGCATTCAGTGCATGTATGGATGCATCTTAAGGACGAGGTGGTGCTCCTGCAGCGGGGAGAGCAGGGAAGGGAGACTCGCAGGCACATGTTGAAAGGCATGGCTGCTCTTTAATGTGCCTCCAGCTCGGGAGTTTTGGGCCTAATGAGGTGCTGTGGAGCTCTGCTCTTCCATCTCCCATCGCCTACACCAACAGCCCACATACTGCCACTGCTGCACCGTTCAGGATCATTAAGGAGAAGCACCCAAATTCCTCTAGGGACCTTAGAAGATGGGAAAAACATCCAAAACAGGTCTTCAGATTGGAGTTTGAGTGAGGTGAGAACGAGGAGCCAGGAGCCACGTTGCTAAACCAGCACACAGACGTTCAAACTAAGAACGTCAGATAAATTAGCATGGAGAGACAGAAAATCTGACAAAACAAACAAAAAACAAAAGTTAAAACTGGTTCATGAGCTAGGAATCTAATGTAGCTCTCAAAATGTGCTTGCTGCCGCTAATGTGCTAAAAGTGGAGCTAATTTGTTGTTTTGCGCTTGACCATTTTTGAAAACGTTTAGCACGCTTAGTTTTTAAATACATAAATTCTAAAGTGCTAATTTACTTGGTAAATTATTTGGTATTACATTACATCTTAATGTTACTTACATTTGCTAAAAGCTTTTATCTTCTTTTATTTAAAAATACAACTGAGAAAGTTAATATATGCTGAAAAAGTTCTATATTTTTTGCCACTCTACTGGTGTATCCACATGTAGACAAATTATAGTGAAATATTCAAACTAGGGATGTCAAACAATGACATTTATTAATCTGATTAATTTACAGGGATAATGCCAATTGGTTAACTTCCCCAAATTAACTTTTCCGTATAAATTTTAAGCCGTTGAGTTGCATTTTGTACGATTTGAGGTGAATAAAGGTCGACGTCTGTGTTAAAGTTTGAGTTATTGACAGTTAATAATTCAAGTTGTTTATTTTTATATCCCTGTAGTTCTGAACTGAACAGTTTAAAATCTACTGATACGGACTGAAATGGCCAGTTAGGCAAATTCAGAAACAGAGTTTGCAAAACTCAACAAGTATAAAACTGAAACTGTGAATGAAAGATCTGTTCAAAGAATCAGTTCCTGAACTATTCACTGTACAGGAAGCTGCACAGTGAATGGGAGGAGCTTTGCTTAAACGTGTTGGCTGTGAGGTGTGATGTATACCTACACTGAAAAAACTCAAAATAGTGCAAACTGTTTTTGTCTAGTTTTCTAGTGCAAATATTTGAATACACTTGCAATAAGAAGAAAAATAACTTACAAGTAACTTTTCAGCAAGATAAAGGAGCTTATTGTAAGTTAATAGTTCTAAGAGGTAAGAATTAGTGACTTAGAACAAGCTCATTCAATTTGCTGCTAAGTTACTTGTAAATTAGTTTTATCTTTTGCACTAAAAGGTAGATCAAAAATACAGGCTAACATTTTGTGTTTTGCAGAAATTGAGGAAAAATGTGGATGCTGAACAGATATTGCATTGAAATTTCTTTCCAAAGGAAAACTGGACAAATTTGAATAAATAAAGTAATTCTGGATCTTCAGAATGGAGGATGGTTTAAAACTTTTGCATGCGCTGTACCTGTAAAATCAGCTCCTCACTTCAGTTTTAGGCTCATTTTGTTTTCTGCAAATTATTTTTACAAACCGAGGATCTGTTGAAATGTCAAGTTAATAAAAAGCGAGCAGTAAAACACATTCAGAGTTGTCGAATTTTGCTTTAAAACATATTTTTACCGTATAAATTATCCCAGCAGAAAAGAGATTAAACTGAATATTTAAACAGGGGTTATTTTTTTTATTTTACCACCAGTTTATGACAGCAGTTTGCTCCAAGCTGATCATGTTGGAGACAAAAAAAAAAATACAAATCCATGTGCCTGCATCATACATGTGTAGCATCAATTAAATGATGATTGCTCTGCTGAATGAGCCAAGAATCATCTCTGCATCTTAACTTCAAATTTTCCTAATAACAACCGCAGAGGCAACATCAAAGTGAGGCAATGTATGAAATTTTGGCGGCGTTATATTAATCAAGAGTGTGCCTTTATGTGCACGTCTGTACATGCATGTGATGCTGCGGCTGTTGTGTGACAGCGCTACACGGCCCGGCGAACAGGATGAATAATCCCCAGCACCATCAAAGGCTCCTCAGATGGGAGCTCAGGCCATGACAGCGGCGCGAACGCAGAATCTCCCAGCCTGTCTCGTACCCCCCGGGGACAGCAGAGGCCGAGGAGAAAGGGGAGAGAAATGGAAAAATGGGAAAAATGACAGGAGAAGAGGAAGAAGCAACACAGCCGATGGGGGAAATTGAAAAAAAGGGAGAGAAAAGTGAAGAAAAAGCAAAAAAGCAGAAGGGAGATGATGTTTGAGGGGAAGAGATAAAGTTAAATGGAGTCACTTTGAGTTTATTTAAGAGCTCCTGGTATAGTTTTCAACAGAGGACCAAAAACTATGCTCAAGTAAGAGTTTAAATACTTCAACATATTTTACTCAAGTAAAAATAAAAAGCAGCCATCCTAAAAATACTCAATTAAAAGTAAAAAAGTATTTGGTAAAAAAATGACTAACTGATGAAATTACCATTTAATGTTTAAAAATTACATAATCAAATGAACCAAAGTATAAAATTAAGTGGAAAATTGGGTATTTTAAGGACCAAAATGATAATAATTCATATAAGCAACAAAGAATAAAATTTTCCTAATCAGCTACTTTCAATAAAAATTTTATGAAACTTTAACAGAAACTGCTGGTGTGTGTCTGGTGAATTTTTGGTTAAAACATGTTTGATTTTCATTCAGAGGGTAAAAAAGTTTTAGTCAAGCAAGAATAAAAATACTTCATAATAAAATTACTAAAGTAAAAGTAAAAAGTACAGTGCAGTAAAATTCTTCTAAAAGTAAATAAATAAATAAAAAATGTACTTCAGTAAATGTAACTACTTATTACCCAACGCTGGTTTTCATTACTTTATCAATGTCTCAACCTGCAAATCTATAGTTACAGATACAGTTGCTGAACAGGCAGAAAAAAGTGTATAAAAATCATTTACTAAACAAAATTTGATTGTTTTCTTTTATGAGTTTGTCTACTACTGAATTAGTTGGAATTCAAATTCAGGAAAACCTCGTTTTTGATGATGCTTCATGTTTAACAAAGTGAAGATATGATCATCTTGTGCTTCTACCTACGCTGCCGACCTGAAGTAGCAGCTGCTCTAACCTGGTGAAAAACCTATAGTAGGATAGGTCTCATGTGACGTCACACTTCAGAGAACTTTATAACTGACAGCCATCTTGGCAGACAGTTGCTATGGCTTTGCTATGACAACAGTAAACAAACCACAAAACTTAGATCCAGCTCTCGCCTCGTTCCTAACTTATAAATAATGTAAGTACATTTCAACTCTTACGTGATCTCAGTTTTTAGTAGTACTAAGATAAATATGACATTTATTATAGTACTTACTGCCGAACTTGCAAAATTAGCTTAGCTAATATAGCTTTTATCTGCTAGCTATATATGCTACTACATGGACTTACTCTGCCAGTCACCAGAACCTTGTTATTCACACGATGAGTTCGTCCGTCCTTTACAAATCCGTTGAAACGTTGGCTGTTTGCGTCAGGCCGTGACGCTCCTCCATGTTTTACGCTCTTCGTGTTCGTAGAAGTTGGTCGGAGGCCACTTGTCCACTGACATATTTTCCTTCTTTGTCTCATACGGGTCGATCCCGACAACAGCCATTTTGTTCATGTATCTTTCTTTCGCACATATTTGGGATCAATAAGTATTTTAGAATTAGAATTTTATTTTTTATGTCGAAGCCACGACTCCACGGGCCGCTATGCGTTGCGCATGCGCTTGCCTTAAAGAAGGCGGTGATCACTTCCGGTTCAGAATTGTTATTTGTTTCTCTCATCATGTGAGTCTTGAACAAAACACATAGTTTTATAACCAGCTCATTTTACTGTTTTTTTTTATTTTTATTTGGAGCCTAAAGATCAAAACTCAGAACAGAAACTTTTTCTCTCTCAGAACTTCAGGAACAAAATTATACCATCTAGGTCCTGCTGCCCAGTTTTGGCTGTTCCTGCAGCTTTTCTTGACATCTGGGCAGAAGTCTGTCCTAGCATGGAGTCTGACGTCTGTTATGCTGCAATAGGAGGGACCTATGATGACTTCCCAAGAATTGTGGGTTTAATTTCTTGTGAAGTATTAAATGTTCTGGCCACAAAGATGGTTCTGGTTCTGCCACCTCAAACGTCTCTGTTCTTGTTGAGTAATGGCCGGAAGAAGCTTTTTCAGCTGAGTAAAGGTCAACATAATAGAGAAATTTGTTCTTATTCAAAGGCTCCAAGAACAAGAACAATGTTATTTCTGGCCAGGATGTTTGATTATTTATGGTTTTGTCTAAATAATCAAATATACTGATTCAAATTATGTCAGAAATGTGATGTTTTCTTTGAAATGTGCTGAAATTTAAAACCCTAACAGTCTAACTGGATTATGGGAACTCTTCCACATTTCTTAAATTTGTATCCAACTACTTGTTTGGAGGCAGATGACTGAAAAAATTCCAAAACAAAAGTAATGACATGAAGAAAAAAAGAGGATGAAGTTAGCTTTTTTTGATCTAACTTCATTTCATATCATCACAGATGAAACTGTAAGAAAGCATGATCTGTTCAGCAAACAGCAGATTTTTGCTGAAATGCTATGATTGAAATATCGATTTTTTCCCCTAATATTGTACCTTCTTGCATTTAATTTTTGGGTTGATTCTTTCCCAAGAAACATTACAGACCCAAACATCTGTCTGGAGCCACTTCTTCAACCGAACCAGGAGCAGTCTGGTGGGGATTTGTGGATTTCCCAGCATGATGGAAAGGCTAAGTGACAACAAACCTGCATTCGGAAAGCTCCACGCAGCAGGCTGACCTTGGAGCTGAACCCAGAACAGGTTTTAAAAGAAAACACGAACAAAACGTAACCAAACCAGACCCAGAAAGCATGAACCACCGCAGGACAACAGTAAGGGAACAAAATAATTTCATCATGTTTGTTTATTCCCCCGTTATTTTCCTCAACAATTACCTCTCTGCTCTATCCTGTTTCTGCCGGGTAGAAATTCTCGTCTCTCCTCCTGGGATCAGGCAGTTCTCTGTCCGTCTGATGGGGAAACGCAGCAGATCACAGCTGGCTCTGCGCCCACAGATAGAGCTGCTCCCCAGCGGCCTCACACTGCTGCCTCAGATCCCGGTCCAAACCTCCCGCCCGGCCCAAAAGGTCAACCCTCCGCCCCTGGAGCCTGCAACCGTCGCCTCACCTCTGGCACAAACACCACCAGCCTTCCTCTGCCAGCTTGTTACACCCAGACAAACACGATCCATTGCTGTGCTTTATTTGGAGATGAACGTCTGAACTCTCTGTTTACTAGATTTGTGTTTCACACTGATGTGTTGGAAAATTAGTTTAATGTGCTTCCTTGAACAAAACATGTTTACCGAATTTTTTTGCACAAAGTCATTCTTAAATAATGAGATTTTATTCTGTCTTAAGCTGTTTTAGGGCGTCTTGTCACTTTAAATCCAAATGAGCTGCTGCTGGCCACGACCCCCAAGTCAACGTTGACACTTTCACATGAAAATGGCAGAAGCACAATTATACTACCATACATCTTTGAAAAGCAGAAGTGGATCCTCCTGCACAACCAACAAGAATGCAGCAAGTGGTTTCTGGATGGTAAGTCAGCAACAAAACACTTGTCTTTTCCAGCAGCCATTGTACAGTGCATACAGTGGGAAAACCAGCCAACCAAACATGCTAAAGCTCAGCTGGGGTTGCTAGGCAACGGGTGGAATTCTACTTGGGTTGCTAGGTAACACTCAGTGACGACTGATTTGTGACGTTACGTTCTGAAGGTTTTTGAAAAGACTCATTTTCCAGATAGCAAAAAATATAAATTTATTGCCAAAACACATCTGAGTATTTTTTTAAACACTTGAGCTGAATTTAGAATCGGTAGAAACCCAAATGGAAGTACAAATATGAACAAAATGTGAATTTTGAATAACAGGTCTTCCATAAAGTATTTCTGGAAAAATCGTTCAATCACCTCAACTTTGAAATAAGAAGTTCGTTATTGGGGTTTAAAGCAACATTAAAACAAAATCCCTGGGTTTTGAGTTGCAGAACACAATAAAAATAAAAATTTTGTTGCTAAATTTGTTCTATTTTCAGCTGCTGCTGTTCTTTCTCACTGCTCTGAGCTTTGTTTCATTTGACAGTGAAAACTGTGTTCCCCTCCTCATCTGTGTTCGCCTCCTCATGAAATGGAAATAAAAACGGAGGAGCATCAGATCTTAGTGGTTGTAGGATTTCTCTTTTGTTTTGGTAAATGAGACTTTTTTCCTGTTTGTTTTTTTTTTTTTTTTTTTT